GTCTAATCACTATGTTGTATACCTGAAACTAACATAATATTGTGTATGAGCCCTAGTTTTAAAAAAAAGTTAAAAAAATAAAGCCATCAAGCTTCATGTTCTTTTTCCTCTAATCATGACTGGATGTTTAGCCTGAGCCCCTCTGGTCACCAGTACATCATGTACTCTCCACCAATCATCATGTCCTCTCACTCCTATGATGCCCTAGAGAGCCCCTTAGCTGAACCTGACACCCATGCCCTCTCTCCTCCCCAACAGTTACCACTCGGCCAGAGGAGCACCACCAGACGATCTTATTTATATCCACGTCTTCCTCTGGAAGTCCCTCCTTGTCCTTAACTACTTAAACCTTGATCCTGCTTGGGGACACCAAGATTGCTGAAACCCTTTCAAGAAACAATCATTTTCTCTTTCACACTTCACCTACTTCAGGACAGACTTTCTCTCCATTCCCACTCCTGGTATTAGTTCATTCAACAGATACCTCACTTGCTGGACTGGTAAGCCCTTGTGGGTGGGGCAGGGGAAATACTAAGTAACAAAGTAGGCAAAATCTTTAAATGGGAGCTTATATTCAAGTGGAGAAAAGGGAAACAAGCACCACATGAAAGATAAAGCAGGAAGTCATAATGAGAATTTTGTGTGGCGGCAGAATATTTCAAATGGAGTGACCAGAAGCATTTTTAAGGGGAGGCATGAAGGACAAGAAAGAGCCAGACAAGCAAAGAGTGAGGTGAAGAACATTTCAGACCAAGGGGCACAAGACCCCTCTCAGTACTTTTCTCCCATGCTTCCTCTGAAGCCCATTCTGTGGTCACACCCTGGGTATCAACAAAAGAACCCGAGCACTTCCCACATCACTAAATAAAACTCACCATCCTCTGGCAACTTGCTTCCTTGGTGCTCGCTTGTTCAGTGGCTTCCACTGCATCCAGAAGTCAAATCCTCTGACCTATGACCCCTTAAGGCTCTTTTCACCAACTTCTTTTAACTATTCAATTTATAATTCCCCTCCTACACGTATATACAATCCCTTGACTCTCCTTCCTTCCTTCAGGCTAGCCTGGCAAAATCCCAATCATTCTGCTTTTTCTGAGACTATCTCTGTGCCAGTGAGAATTGTCAAACACAATCCCCAGAGTGGGAACACTGTAAATTCATGATCACTCATTTCACATGGATCTCCCACGCTGCCCAGCAGTGCTCAGTTCAGTAATAGTTCCCTCCACCACTGTCTCTAATGACTATTTGATATCTTCTCCTCTCTTCAATATTTTTACCCTACTCTAGGCTGTGGCTTTTGTGATACCCTACTATAATGGCTTTCCTTCCTATCTTTCTGACTATTCCCTCTTCATTTCTCTTGGCATTTCCTCTTCTGATTTAAAGGTTAGATACCTTTAGCACTCAGACATGGGCTATCTGCCTTCATTGTTCTAAGTTCTTCCCAGGTGATCTATTCCCATGACTTTAAATACCATCCTATGTTAGTAACCCCCAAATTTCTCTCTGTCCCGGCCACTTCCTAACTTTAAAGATCACCATCCTAGTCTGAACCACCATCACCTCCTGCTGATATATATTACTGTAATATTTCTTGATTTCTCTACTGATAGTTCTATCTCCCATGGTAGCCACAGTAATCTTTTTGAGGTATAAATAAGACCATGTCATTCCCTTATTTAAAACCCTTCAGCAACTTCCCATACTTTTCTGAAAAAAATCCTAAAATATGGCCTCTTAGTTTCCAATGGCTGCCATAACAAATTACCAAAAACTTGGAGACTTAAAACAGAAATTTACTCTCTGACAGTTCTAGAGACTGGAAGTCTAAAATCAGGGTGTTGGCAGTGCCACACTCCCTTCAAAGGCTCTAAAAGAGATTTAATTCCTTGCCTCTTCCAGCTTCTGGTGCCTTCAGGAGCTCCTTGGCTTGTGCCTAGATCACTCCAATTCTCTGCCTCCGGCTTCACATTGCTTTCTCTTATCTACTTTGTGTATATCTTATAAGAACACCCATCATTAAATTTATCACCCAGATAATCCTAGACAATTTATTCTCAAGATCCTTAATTACATTTGCAAAGATCTGTATTTACAAATACTGTCACACTTACACGTTCAGGGGATTAGGACATGGGCATATCTTTTGGAGGGTCACCATTTAACCCACTATAACCTCCTTACCTCCAAGGCCTTCCCCAAGCTGCCTCTGCTTCCCCCTGCAATTTCATCTCCCGAAGTTCTCTTTCTGCATGTACATGCTCTACCCATCCTGGCTGCCTTTTACTTCCTTGCTTGAGGACGGGCTCTTTCCCATCCTTTTTACATATGCTATTCTCTACATATACTATTCTCTCTCTAGTCTTTGTCTACCTAACTCCTCCTTCAAGTCTTGAATTAAATCCAACTTCCACAAAGAAGTGTTCTTTGACCCCATAAACTTAAGTGTGTTGGCACAGTTATTCCTCAAAGCGCCTTGTTTCTTATCTTCACAGCATTCAATTATTTTCCTGTTTCAAGTTGTGCCTATGTAAAATGTGTGTGTTCTTGTCATTATCTGTCTCTATCAATGGTCTGTGAATTCTTCATACCATCTCTGGCACACCTGTTTTGTTAACTTCCGTTTGTACACATAAGTATCTGGCACACATTAGCAATAACTAAATAAAGGAGTACTGAATAAAAAGAGTACCTCCCATTCCCTTTCTGAATAGGATTAGGCTCAGTGCAAATAAAAAGGTTTGGAGGGTAACCAGACCGCAGAGCACACTGCAGGCCTGCAGCAGACATCTCTCCCAAGCCAGCCTGAGAAAGTGGCCAAAGTGGATGTAAAATGGAAAGTAGTACCTGATTTTAGCAAGTCGTATGGACTTCTCTACTCTTCAGTTCTGCCATGAACAAACTATATACCTCAGGAACTCATTCACCTTTTATAATAATCTCTACCTCCTGTTCGAAAAGATTAATTGAAGTTTTTCTGAATTGCAGGAAAAACTCCCAATACAAACTGATTTCCACTGGCAGCCTAATACTAAGCTGGGAGATTCACATTATATCTAACTTTCTTATTCTACTGAATTACACAATGACTCAAATACTAATAATAAATATTGCTGGCCTGTTTTGAAATCTAGTATGCATACATGGACATAGAAAAGAAAATCTTTTCTAAGACACATGGAATTCTCCACCCTGTTTCTTATCCTGAAGTTTTTTTTTAATTGAAATATAGTTCACATACTATAAATTCCCCCTTCTCAAGTTTACCATTCAGTGTTTTGTCCGATTTGTATCATCACTGTTGCTAAAATGTCACTAATTCCAGAACATTCTCATCACCACCACACCTCCACCCCAAAAAAACCCATTCTTGTTAGCAGTCATATACTGTTCCTCCTTTCCCCAGGCTCTGGAAGCCACTCATGTACTGTCTCTATAGATTTTACAGTTTTCTTTTTTATATTCATTAAACTAACAGAGACATGAAATGATTTGCACAAGGTTGCAGCAACCAGTAAGAAAGACTTTAACACACATTCATAGCAACTTTTTAAATTGTAAGAAAAACAAGATCAGTGAAAATATGTTTAGCTCAAGTATACATATCTTAAATGTGGCTGTAAGACATCTGACGTATAAAACAGAGTCCTCACACTAGTAATTCTCAGGCAGTGTGTCAGGCTGGGGGAAGGCAGGTGTGTAAGGTGTTAGGCAGGAATCATTAAAGAGGAATAGAGATGCTACTGGTGAACAGGAATTGCACTGAGGGTCAGTGATGCAGACAGGTTGAAAGAGTGTGAGGCTACAGGGTTTATAGGACAGACATATTTTCTTTTCAGCCCAGGATTGTGAAATGAGTGCTAATGTGTCCAGATGCCCCCTTGCTTTCTTTTATAGTGCTCTTAATGGGTCCCAGAGATCCCTTATTCATCTCGGGGATCTGAGATTTGTTTGAGTAGTTAGCGCAAAACAGTGCTAATACCACTTCAGAATACTTGCTGGTTAATGACACCTTGCAAAATAATATAGAAAACTTGACTTTTCTATATTCTACTGTCTGCATTCTCAAATAAGTTGAAGAATTAAAAGCTTAATTCACTTCTGTTACTACCAATAAATGTATACACAGGAAAAGTGATCCTATAGACTAAAATAATCAGAACCATTTGCATAAATAATTAGGCACACATTTTATTTTTTGTCTTAATTAGTATTGCAAATACCATTAACAAAAGAAAAACATGATGGAAATCGCTCGTCACACAGAAGAAAATTCATCATTCAAAAGAGATTAATCCAAACCTCAACATTCTTTGTGCTTATTTAAAAATATTATTAAAACAGCAATTCAAAAAGACAAGTCAAAACTAACCATTTTATCATTTCAAACTGAGATCATAAATCAGCTAGGACTATACAACTTAAAAATAACCTTTTGTTTTCAACCTAGAAAAGTCTGATTTGCCAACATATAATGAATACAAGTTTTCTTTTACAAAACAAATTATTTTGAGTTATAGAGATCCTGCAGATGACTAGCTTATTTTTTTTTTACAAAAATGACTTTTAAAAATGCCTATTTAGCTAGTCAAACTATTCATAGCCTTGGATACTAGATAATACAGTGACGGATGATTTTAAGTTGAAATGTCTTTTTTACCAAATATTTTACTAAAACTGTTATTGATCATGTAAATTAACTTAAAAGGTTAACTCTTAATTGTGCACCACAAAAGAGAGCTTTGGTAGCAATAAATTAGAAGTAAGGCATCTAAATGTATTTAGTTTGCAGTTTTATAGTGTGTTTTCGGAATTAAATTGGAAATGCCTATGAATGAAAATATTAAGGTCTAATTCATCTCTTACCTACAGTATTGTGAGGAATGAACAGCCTAATTGTTCCAAATTATTGATATAAATAAAGCACTAGCCTAAAATTTCTTCCAAAAAGATTAATGGGTTACACCCTGAAATTCAGAATAAAAGTAAATACTTACTAGAATTAAGTACTACTTTACTTTTCAATGCTCCCTTTCCCTCTGGACATGAGTAGCAAGGTACTAGAATGAAAATAATTCCAGTAAGTACTTTAAGAATATGTTACTTTTAGTTCTCCCATTTTATAGGGGGCTAAGTAGAACAAAAAAATAATAAATTAAAAAAGAGCTAATTTAATAATTTAAAAAAGGCAGACTGAGCTAGGGGAGAGGGTGGCTTTAGGTAAATGTCCGTTGTTAGTCATCCCTTTAGCAAAATTCAGACACTGTTATAAACCTTCCTTCAATTACAGCCAGGGCCATGTACCTTGCACATGGAATCTGGACAATGTTTGATAAACTGAAAGGTTGCCAGGTAAGTTATAGAAAGTTAATAACACATTTTCATTTTAAGAAACAAACAAACAAAAAAAACTATTCAAGATACTGAGCAATTTTATGTTTTGAAATGGCCATCCCAGAGCCACTACTTTTTAGGTCATTAAGAAGACACTGAAAACAACTTTTCATGAGTACTGTGAACTAATTCTTGGTGGAGCATGCGTTTTTTATAAACTCAGACCCAAGTGAACTAATTGCGATTTAATTCTAAATTTAGCCTGTGATTTCTGGCTATAACATTGGAATATAACCAGTAATAACACTTTTGTTTAAGTATGTTTACTTTTCAAATTATTCAGTTTGGGAAATATTTATATCCTTAGCCCAAATGATTACTTACAGTTTGAAAGATGAAAGATAAAAATAAAAATTGATTCAACAACTGCCAAATGAAATTAATACAAACACTGACCACAACAACTTTACACTCAATCCATAATAAACCACTGCAGGGTGAGCTCAGCTCACTTAAGTATTAAAACCATTTCTCTTTTCCAGCTTCATAACTGGACCGAATGTTGCTCGACAACATTACCTATGTTAAGAGTGAAGAGATAAAAAGTGTTGTAAAGATTGCACAGTAACTGAATTTGAGATGGGTGTAATGTATAATCATAACATTACAGAACTGGATGGGAACTGCAAGAGCTAATCAGGCACCCATATGTTACAGATGAGGACACTGAGGCCCAGACTGAGTCATCTGATCTAAGGAGTTGACGGGAAGTCACATTCCTGGGCTGAGCCATTCATTCATTTAGTCCTTCTCCTACTTCCTGAAAGCTACCTAAGTGCTAGGCTCAGTGGTGGGTGCTGAAAACAGGCTGGGAGGCAGCATTCACCAATGCAGAGACAGGCCTTTTTCCTAATCTTCTTAAGATAAATCCTGAAATGCCCTCATCACCAAGAACTCACAGAAGAGTTCCTCTGCCTTTGCAAAACCAGGCCCACTTTCAGTTTCACACATTTCAGTAAACAAAGTTGGTTTAACTTCAGAGAGGCCTCAATTGTATTTACTTTAAGTGATTAAGCATTAACAACGGGAAGGAAATGCAGTATCCTGAACGAATCCTTTTCTAATACATTCATAACTCAAGGAAGTGCAATGAGAAAATGCTCTAACACACAGAAAGCTTCACAGACAGGACAGGTTATGAAATAAACTCGATTAGAGGTATCAGTATAGATCATTAAGTCCAACAGTTCAAGTTTACAAAGTGTGGAATGTAAAGGACACCCCATTTTATTCAGATGTAAGTATATATTTTTAAGATGTCTACATGTTAACGAGACCTCCAAATTCACATTCAAACTGATGCTCTCTTCTAATTAGACACATATCTAAACCAGGCCTTTCTCCTTAAAATTCACTTTCTTTGATTTCCATTTGATTTTTTTAAAAATTAGAATAAAAAATAAACAAAACCTAAAATTTAATGTGCTGGCTAAAGAAATTCAAATCCTATGTACAATCAAAAGAGTTACAGCTCAAACTGCACATTTATGAGTTTTGTTAAACAATGAGATGTGCAGTGAACTTACCCACCAACATGAATTATCTTATTTTACTTGGACTTTTACATTCTTTAATATCAAGTCTGGCACTTAAATATTTTGTGTGTATCTCAATTCACAGTCAACTTCTTTAAGAAGAAGAAACCATATTGACAGAGCTCTGAAATAAAACAACCCATAAGTAAGGCACTTTCAATTGTTCAACAGCAGCTCTGTGTGTGTCAGTTTCAGTGTTCTACACCAAAACGAACCACAGGTCACGCAGAGCCCTCGCAGATGAACACTGGGTGATTTTTGATAAAACACAATCTTCGCTGAGGCTCTTTGACTTTCCTGAATGTATCGTCAGCTCGGGACCAAAGTGCTGTTGTGCTCTTTTAGTTCTCAAACTTCCAGATTTGATTTTTATCTACAGCATCACAAGTTCTCATTTGAACATCAGCTCGGCCCTCAGGTGTCCTATAAGCACTAAGACACAGTCCTGAGAACGGATGAAAAATGGTTCCATCTTCTTTAAAATGCCAAATAATGTTTGTTGGCACAGGGAACCCATCTTTCGGACAATTTTGCATTCCTACATGATTTTTTTGCTCAGGAACCTCTGCACATAACTCTGTCACAGAATTAAACCTGATTTCTTTGTTTGAAGTATATTCAAAGAACTGATTGCCTCCTTGACCATGGCATCCAAATAGTGAAAGGTTAGCACCTGTGGGGTTGTTGTCAGGAGAATTATAATCTAAACATTCAGAAGAGATGCCCATACTGCGAATAGCTCCGTGCCAGCCTGGCCTATCCTCTGGAACATGTAAATTCGAAAACACATGTTTCAAATACCAGTCAAAGCTCTTGCAATTCAGCCGTTCTCGAAGTAATTTTCTTTCAGAGATATCACCATAAGCTTCTTTCCTTGCTGGAGGGTTTCGATTGTAAAAATGCTCTTTGTACTCATCCATCCACACTTCTGCTGCCCGAGCAGTGTTCTGCAGGAAATTGGGCCGAGCATAGGGAGCCCGCTTAGGGAATACGTGGCCCACGTGGGAACACGGGTGGATCTCCAGTTTACCTCCACACTGCCACACCCTGAAAGACAGTTCCAGGTTTTCACCTCCCCACACTTCCATTCCAGTGTCGTATGTTCCAAGGTACTCAAAATATTTCTTGCTGACAGCAAACAGTCCTCCAGCCATGGTGGGTGATCTGATTGGGTCAATTCTAGATTTTCGCCTATCCCTTTCATGCTTGGGAACAGAGTGCCACTGGAACGTTAAACGCCAGTCAAACCCGCCAATCATGGGTTCCCCAGTCTGCATATAAAATTCAAAAGTATTCCAATCTATGGTATCTATAACAGGACAAATAATTACTGTTTCATCCTCACCAATTCTTTCCAAAAGTGGTTCCAACCAACCAGAATTACACTCACAGTGACAATCCAGGAAAGTGAGAACATCCCCAGTAGCAAACGTGGCCCCAATCAGGCGGGCCCTAACCAGTCCCTCCCGCTTATTTGTTCTAATCAAGCGTACTCTATCCAGATTGCTGACATACGTTTCAAGTTGTGTCTTCAAATAAACTCTGTCACTCAAGTCATCAACCAAGATGATCTCCTTCAGAAGGACTGCAGGAGAAGTTTCTAAAACACTGTGGATGGTGCGGAGCAAAGTCGACCACGCTTCATTATAGAAAGCAATGATAACAGAGGTGGTGGGAAGTCGCCTATAGTTAAACGTCTTGGATTTACACTCGTACATTCTTTTATCCTCTATGTGGCGGTGCAGGGAAATTTTGTCACTGAGGTAAATATTAATGGCATATCTCTCAATGAGTTCTTCTTGCTGCTTCAGTTCAGCCTCGTTGAGCTGGAGTCTGCTGGCTTTCCCCCACTCCCCGAGTGCATGAGAATCTGCAGGGGGCTTCTCATACAGCGGTCTGGACAAATCCTCTGCCTTTTTCTGGAGATCTGGGAGCTGCCCTGGCCCCCGCTCCCAGGCAAGGCCAGTTCCAGAGGAGGCATGGAAAGTGGAGACTGAGAGTTCCACCAAGACATAGGCCACAGTTAAAAGCGCCAGCAGCAAGCAGCTTTTGCCTGCCCAGGTCCACCTCACGGCCATTCGGATCCTCACAGCTAGGGCGCAGACGCGGCCACCAGAGTCACCACGCGGGGGAAGAACTGCGGGATCAGACACTTGAGTCCCCGACTCAGGTAGGAGCGAACTTCCCAGCCGGTCCCTCCTTTTCTGCAGGCCCTCGACTCCTTTCCCGCCACAGAGGTTTCCCGGGGGTCACCTTAGACTTCTCTGTCATCCGCCTCCGGCGCAGCCCCAGCTCCTCTCTCCCCACTTCCTCCTGCACGTCTCTCAACTTTTCACAAACTCTCTCACCGACACCCCACCCTCCCGGCCGAAGACAAAGCCCTCCCCTTCCCACTCGCTCCTCCTGGTGGTTAGTTCGTGAAACTCTCCAGCCAGGCCCCAGCCTGCAAGCGACTGTGCGGGGTGGATGGGCTGGGTACCGTACTGACCGGGGGCCAGGTTCCTGCCCGCTGGGGCTCAGACCAAACCATCGCTCCGGGCTCCGCGAGTCCCCGGGCGCCCCCACCCCCACCCCCACACAAGTCCTCAGTGGTTCTCCCGGAGGCCCAGCGTGGACAGAGACAAGGTTACCGACTGGCTGAGCATTTGCCCCATCACAAAAAGAGAAAAAATAATAAAACTTACCAAGTTGTTTGCCGTTGGGACTAAAATCCACGGAGGTTATTGCAGCTTTATGGCCCTTAAAGTAACGCTCCAGAACAGGATCCTCCTGGGAAGGAAAGTTACCAGGTTTTGAAAGCAGGTGCAGACCTCGAATCCGGGGGGTCGGGGACACACGCTGTCCTTTCCTACGGGGTGCGGCTTGGGAACGGCCACAGACGTGGTGGGTCTGCTGGCAGGACGCCCCGCACGAGCGCACGCGGGCAGCCCAACAGGGAGGCGCAGGGCGCCCGCTTCCCCTGCACAGCCCGCCAAATCCTCGGTTCGCTCTTCCAAGAATCCAGCGCCCTGGAGAAACCACCAGGGGCGACTCTTTGAAATGCAGGTTCCCAGGCCCCGCCCGTCGGCTGGCAGTCAGTGGCCAGACTCGAGCACTTTTTAAAAACCTCCCAGGTGATTCTGACGCAGACGCTCTACGGAAACCCTCCGAGAATTCTGGGGGCCATGCGACTGCACGGGCTTGGTCTCCAACTCCAAGATGCGGGGAGCAGCGCCCGGGAGCCGGGCCAGGGCTGGGCGCCCCCGACACCCCAGTGAGACGCGGGAGCCGGGGGCGAGGGGCGCGGAGGTAGGGGTTCTGGACCGGGCAGCAGACACTTGTCTCCACCTCCCTCCAGGTGTGGGCGCGGCCCGGATCTGGGCCCGCGGCACCGGCTCTGAGGAGTCGCTCCCCAGCCCATCCTTACCGGGGCGGAGGCCATGGGGGGAGCGGTGAGCGCCCGGTTCCTGCCGGTGGGGGAAACCGGGGAAAGGAAGGGGATGGGGTGGGATGGGGGACCGTGCGGCGCCCGGAACCGTCTGCCCGCAGCCGTGGCGCCTCCCGGTCACTACAACAACGGCGGCCCAGTCAAACCCCGCGCTCCAGGCATGGCCAGCGGAACCCCGAGGCTCCGCCGGCGCCGGGGAAAGCCCGGAGTCCTCCAGCCGGTCGGCTGGGTGACCTTGTCTCGGGTGCGACCACCCACTGAGGGAGAAGTTTATTAACACTCGCGCTCCTCTCGGCTAGAAGCCCAGAAAGAGAGTAGTCACCGGGGCAGGGATGAGACCGACGGGAGGGCAAGGGTAGTGAGTCTGTGATCGATGCAATCAGAGCTCCATTACTCGTTAAAGAGACAGTGCCTGGGACTTTCGAGCGGGTGCCGCAGAGTTTATTGAGACGGGGGAGGCAGATTTGCTGTGAAGTGGGGCAGCTTGGTAGATATTAATGTACGTAGAGGAACTAAACCTCTGGGTAACAGATTTGAATTTATTTAAGTACTGTTTTTCACACATACTGAGTGATATAAATATAGATAGTGGGTAAATGGAATGAATGAATGTTGGGCATCCACTTAATGTTTTTCTGTTTCTATTCTAATCTGTTCTTCGTATGTTTTAGAACAGCCAGTTTATGCAACAGCCTGTCTAAAGTCTTTAGGAATACTTAGAAATAAACATTTTATTTGTTTTATCTGAACTACTAAGCCACATAGTAACTACAGCCATCTCTACAACAGCCTTTCTTACACGTAATATCACTGAGTTCAGCAACACTATAAAGGTGATAGAGTTATAAAATGTTACCAACGTTTACAAATTATAAACTTGATTATTAAATATTTTATATAAAATTGTCGAAGATCACACAGAGACAGCTCTTCCAAGTCCATATCCTTTTGTACCCTGCCTCAAAGCATGAAGGACTCAGTTGAAAATTACGTATAGAATAAGAATTCTTGCCTGTGTAAGATGGCATAATAGATCACAGCTGGTGAAATACATGTTCTGTGCAAAAGTGAAAGGTATACTACACACCTTAGTTAGTTTCTCTAACTGTTGTCTAGTGGTAGAATTTAGTTTTAGAGAACACTGTTGTTAGTGATTAGGCAGATAGGAAATAGCTTTAGATTGCAGTATTAGTTTAATTCGAGTATATGTTTGTTAAATACTTGCCCTCTGGCTCTGAGGGATACAAAGGTGACATATTTTGTCTGCCCTTAAGAACTCAGCAATCTAGGTTTCTGTTTGAGATGATAAAGTTCTGGAAATAGGTAATGGTGGTGATTGCAAAACATTGTGAATGTACCTAATGGCCGTGAACTGTACACTTAAAAAGAGTTAAAATGGTAAAGTTTGTTATATGTTTTTGACTACAATAAAGATAATTGTGGAAACTGAGGAATAACCAAGACCTCCAAGTTTCTCATAGTCAAGATATGTCTAATATTAGGTACAATAGAGTAACAGGAAAAAAAAAAACCAGTTGGAGATGTAGCTCAAAAGAAAGCAAAATATTATGTACAGATTGTTCTATGACTTTCAGTAAAAAAATTGAAACTTCCAATCATCAGAAAACATAGAGTTTTTAATTAAACAGGAAAAAAATCACCCATTGTCCCATCACCTAAAAGTTGACTTTTTAAAAATTTATAATCTAACTTATGCTCACTACATGCTAGGTACTCTTCTAAGTACCTTACAAATTCTGACATTTAATCCTCATAAGAATCTTATTAGAGAGATGCTGTTATTGCCATTTTCATTTTACAGGTATGGAAATTGATATTCAGAGACATTAAGTTACTTTGCCGGGTACACAGCTGGGAAGTGGCAGAGCCTGAGATTTCAGTGGGTGCCTCCAGACTCCACTGACTCGATCACTAAGTCATGATGCCTTTTGCATGATTGCAAGCAGATTTTAAAGATGTAAAATACTGTATCCTAGTGTAACCATAAATTTTACAAAAATAAAAGTGACCCTTGATTTTTTTCCATTCCACTGTCCTCATTTATTACTCCGAACTGCCCTTCCTAGGGTTCTTTTCCATATTTGATGTTATTCCTTTTGTTACTCCTCACCTTTGCAAACAACAAAAGCTCAGATGGACATTTGGAAATATGGCCAAAGTTTGGGATATTTTTCCTAACCTCATGTCTTCTTGAGTTCATGTTATTTTATTTGCTGCAGTAAATATCCTGGACCTTCCCTAACCTGGATGGGAGCTACAATATTTCACAATATTTGAAAATCTACGCGGTATCATTGAAAGCCAAGTACTAGGTAGGACAAACTGACCCTTTAATTATCCCTCCTTTCACAGAACCCCCTCAAGTCAGAAACTGAACTTATCTACTTGAGCACTATAAAGGGTTGTTTCTATTTTAGCTCCAATCATTCCTAGGTTATTTCACTTCAAAAGTTCAAAATTCGAGCAGAGCACAAAAGCGCCATCTGCTGTCCGCGTTCCTGCGTGGCACTGCAGCGAAAATATTTTGTAGCCTCTTTCTGGCAGTGCAACTCTCAGACACAGCTGCTCCAAAGTATGGGGAGTATATAGAAAGGAAAGTCCCAGGTATGTTTGATCATTAAAGCATCAACCTTGTTTTTGAAAACTGTCAATGATTTATTTCAATCAACATTCATTCTCCACATTCTATCAATTACATGCTCACAATTGATTTTATCTTCCCATCTTTCTGTGCCCATGGCTCCTGGCTCTTGGCAGGCCGTCTTCCTCCAACTCCTAGGGCAGGGCGTCTGACCTTTTGGTGTCTCTGGGCCACACTGGAAGAAGCATTGTCTTGGGCCACACATCAAATACACAAACACTAGTGAAAGCTGATGAGCAAAAAAAGGGTCCATGCATAATTTTCATATCGGCCACCACAGATAAGCAAAAAAGTCCTCAGATAATAACCCTAATTATGTAGCAGCCCTTTCAATAATCTTTTAAAATCATGGAGCAGGTTCCAAGTTTGTGATCACTAATATAGCAAATGTACATATCTAAATAATAAAACTTAGTATAAAACTTAGTAATAAAACTATGTAATGTTTTAAGTAAACTTAGGATTTTGTGTTCGGCCGCATTCATAGCCATCCTGGGTCGCAGGTTAGACACCCCTGTCCTTTCAGTAACCCCTAACTTTCTGACCTGATGACTCACCTCTGTCTTTCTATCCTGCATGTGCCAAGAAATATACCAGAGTAGCTTGCTCAAAGTGCTGATTATTGGGCCCCACCCCAGAGATTTGATTTAGACCATCTGGTGTGGATACTAGGAATCTGCGTGTTCTCAAACAAGGTTTCCGACTGATTGTAATGTGCATCAATATTTGGAAGTCATTGGGAAATCATACCAGGCCTTCTTTAAAATGCACTTTGTCACTTTATGGCCTGAGCCTTAAACTCCTATTTCAGGCTGATACTTAAGCCTTTACATCCACATATTGGAGCCTTTTCTGGAACTATTCCTCCCAGCTCCAACTTCTATGCAAAGAAACCTATTTCAGGACCTGGGAAAATACCATAATTTTGTGAAATTGCCTTTCTCAGAAACTATTGCCTCTGTCCTTATAAAAATATACCATTTCTCCTGTGGTCCCTTGCAGGGTGCTACTTAGAGCTCTACTTTGCAGTATTTTATGTTGCTACATTTTACTTATGTTTATGTGTCTCACAGTTCTCATTGTAGTGAAAGGCCTGTAAGACAAGGACTGTGATGTAATTCACCTTGGTATTCTGTGGCCACCACAATCCCTAACACAGAGCAGAGACTCAGTAAATGTTTTCTGTATTGGTTGTAGACCTACAGTCTGGTTGGCCCGCTCCATATTCACTTAAAAGGCCAACTGAAGAAAAATAACATTCTCATTGTCCTCAAACAGTTTAAAATCTAATTGAGAAGATAAGACTTCCTGCATGAAACAATTAGTGAGACCAGTAAAAAAAAAAACTGTTATGTGAGGCAGTTAGTCCCTAATGACCATAAATAAAAATGCTACAAAATATCTGTGCTGTGTCCCTAATGATTGTATTTTTATAGTGCCAGATAATACATGTGAAAGGTATTTGGAGATGATGTTTTTGTACCAGGAAAGGTTATAGGAAAAGATGTGCAATGTTATAGAGAAAGATGGGCATTTTTAAAAATGGTCGGTTTAGGCTAAATCGGTGATTTTCAAAGTTTAGTGGGCATTAAACTCAGCTGAAGGGCTTGTTAAAGTGAAGGGAGCTGGGTCCCTCCCAGCGTTTCTGTTTCAGGGGCCCCAGAATTTGCATTTATAAAACGTTCCTAGGTGTGATGCTCATGCTATCAACAAACCATTCTATGGCAATTGTGACATTAAAGAAAAAGTAAGAGGGTGAGAGAGGAGGGAAGCACCATGGTGTCAGCCAGGGGCTGACGGGTGGGGGACATGGGGGGATGCTGGTCAACGGTAAAGATGTTCAGTCCCAAGCCCTGGGGACCTGACGTGCAGCACAGGGCTGCAGTTAACAGTGCAGTGCTGCATACTTGAGGGTTGCTCCAAGAGTAAAGCTTTAGTGTTCTCTCCACCACCACTGCCACCACCACCACCGCAGAGTGGTAATTATGTGAGAAAAAGGATGCGTTAATCTTCTCGTGGTAAACATTTTGCTGTATATCCATATATCGACCATCACAATGTACCCTTTACACTTACACAGTGCTATACGTCAATTATATCTCAGTAAAGCTGGACACAAACAGATGGATAATAACGAGTGTTGATAAGAACGTGGAGAAAGTGAAACTCTCACAAGTGTGTGTGACAATGTAAAATGATGCAGCTACTTTATACCTAGAAGTGGATTCTCCTCAAAAAGTTAAACACACAGTTACCACATCACCCAGAAATTCCACTCAGTTATCATGTACCCATGAGAATTGAAAACAT